CTGTAGGGCCGCAAGGCTGTGAAGGTGCAGGCCCCAGCAGGGCTTTCGGATCACTATCACATCAGCACGTGCAACAATATGGCCAAGGTTTTGGGGGAGCGTGAGTTTCCCCTTGTATTTGGGAAAGTGGGAGTATTTGCTTCCTTCCAAGGACAAAAGGCAGAAAATTCTCAAACTTCTCTTTTTCTTGATAGTCCAGCAACCAGCGTGTGGGAGAATTGGAGAATTTTAATTGGACATTCCAAAGTGCTTTGCATTTGATAGTAACTGGCACCTTCCATTATATTCCACTATTTGGGGGAAAAAAAAAAGAGTGAGTCGATGCCTCACAACTAGCTAAAATGCGAACTCTGCTGTCTGCTGAGTTAAATCACTTTGTTGGGTAACACCAGCTACCTCATGATAGCTGGTGCTTGGTGGGAATAAAAATAGAAATAAGGATAAATAATTACTGCGGCACAACAAATGAAGTCCTAAGCATGAGGTTCAGGGTGTAACGTGATAAAAAAAAAAAAAATTTATGTAAAAAGCTGTGAAAACCTAGGAGCAGGCTCCGATACGCTCGTTTCACGAAGGGCAACGGAGCTTTAGACAGCTTTGCGGTAGCTGGTCCCCTCCCTTTGCTGGCGCTTCTGTCCTGGCAGGTGCAGGTGAGGTGGCACCGGTCGCTGTGAGGGGTGGCCTCCGGCTGTGCCACGCCTGCAGTGGGACTCCGCCCAGGGCTCCTCCCACTCAGCTGAACACGCTGCTGCCACGCCACCACCTGAAGCGAGCTCACGTCTTGGCCACGGGGCCCTGAGGCAGCCCCACCGGCCGCGGGCGGCCGCCCGGGGCTCCCTCCGCGAATCGCTATCCTCCAGGCGGCTGAAGGGGCCCGGGGAACGTCCCCCTCGGTGTCTGTCCCCTCGGCCTTCAGCTCACCTCTCCAGGAGGGGACTCTGTGCCTCCAGCTGCTCACCCCTCAGGCTTGGGCTCGTGGGGGGCGGGTGCGAGGTGGGCGGGCAGGAGGAGATGGCCAGCGCACAGCCGAGGGTCCCTGTTCACTTAGCTAAGTGACGGACGGGCGACGCTTTTACCAGTGTTAGCTTGGGAGTGAGAGGAGACGCGGGATGTTCAGGGAGAAGGCCGTCTTGGAAGCAGCAGATGCCAGCGCTCTGGGAGCTGAACCACGCGGGTTGAGACACAGCTGACCCCCGTGGGAAGTCTCCACGGCGCCTCCGCGTCTCTGACTCACCCCACGGGATTCCTCCTCCTCAGCTTCCGCTTAAGGCGCGTGAGCACCCTGTGCTCTCAGTGTGGCGGTCAGAGTGTCCAGGCTGGCAGAAAGGCGGCCCGGGGACCTCGCTCCGCGGCTGGGCCTGGGCCTTCGCTTCTCCTGAGAAGCCGCGTCCTACCAGACGGCTTTTAACCATTCGCTGTGTCCCTCTGGCACCCCGCGTTGCTACAGCTGAGTGCGTTTTATTCTTTGAGCCATGACGACCTCCTACCCTACATCCCTTTGGGAGCATAACGCTAGTGTTTATTTTTGTCAACTGAAGTAACAGAGACGCGTGCGCCTTTCTCTGGAGCCGCTTACTGTGTTTGCTCCCTTCCCAAAGCGCTGGGATTGCGGGCTCTTTGCGACTTGTTACCTCTCCCCCCCATCTGCTCTGGCTCCGGGTGGCGGGAGCGAGCTTGCAGCAGAAGTCTCCAGTGTCTCTCTGCACCGCTGCCACCACCCTTGGCTAAGCGACTTAAACGGTGCACAGGTGTCCGGGGCGGCTCTGATTTCCTTTATATTCAGCAGAATCATTTCCTTGAACATGGTCATTACTCCTATTATCCTTCTCCGAATTACGTGCGGAGCTGTTATAACGTTAGTTCACTGAATATTAAAGGCATGAGAGAGACCAAGTGATTTGATGCTTCAGATGATTATTTATGGGGAAATTCAATTTTTGGAGGATGATAATCATGATGAGACAGAGGTGAAAAACAGCAGTAGCATCCACAAGCCAAAAAACAAAAACAGAGACAAAAACAAGACCGTGGAAGCAGCGCTGAGGGGACAGGGCAGAGAAGGGGCCCGCTGCTCCCCTCTGCCGCCGCCTCAGATTTCACACAGGCAGCGCTGAGGCCCTGGGCCACGCAGCTGAGCTCCCGGCCAGCTGGCTGGTGGGGCCAGGCCTGGGGAGAGGCCCGAGAGACGGCGTAGGCTGCCAGCCTGGGAAAGGAGATGATAAGCAGGTTCCCTCACTCCAGGAGAGTGTTTCTCCTCCTGAAGTCTGCAATTGTGTCAGAGGGTCACGGAAACAGGCTCCTCGCTGCCCAGTAACGTTCCTGATGCTCGACTTTCAGCAAAGTGAACCATAGCACGATCCTTAGAGAAAGTATTCAGTGAGAAGACAAAAGGGGGGCCTCTTTGCTGTCCCCCCCTTTCCAGAGACACCTGAAGATGTCGGGGTTGGGGGCTCAGATGCTGGAGAGTCGCCGTCACTTCACCTAGAACGCTTAGCTGTCAGCCCCCACCCTCCTGGACAATCTCAGTGACCTGCGTTTACCAAGCATCTGAGGAAGAAGATGGCAGAGTCGCTACCCTGAGCCTTCCGCAGCCGGCCTTAACAGGGCAACCGCCCAGTGTCCTCACTCCGAGAGCTGTTTGCTTAAAAATAACGGAGGGGGCCCTCCTTGGGGCGCTGCGGGTTGGAGCGCAGCACTGAGAAGCTAAAGCCACTTCCACATGAGTTCGATCCCCGCCTGCCCCAGAGGTGACCCACAGGGCGCAGCAGACCTCTCCTGACCGCCTGCTGCTCCCCTCAGCGGTGGACTTCGTCCATCTGCCTGTTCTGCCCCCCGCTCTGTCTCTGGTGAGTCCTCTCACCACACCTGCACCTCTGGCCTGTACCCCAGTTCTGTGTCCATAAATAAATAAATCTTAAAAAAAATAAAGGACAGAACCCCCAGTTCAGCGCTCCCGTCTACGGCCAGCCAGAGAGGAGTGGGCTGTCTTCAGGCACTTTGTTTTATGCATTTGGCATCTTCTTCATCTTGTGCATTTCCCGCCTCGCCTTGGCCCCGCGGACGTCCAGCCCCGCCCCAGAGGCACCACAGCACCCTGCGCCCCGCCGCCCCACTTCTGACCCCACTCCCCTCTCCGCCCCTGCGATGTCTCTGGCTTACAGTTCGCTGATTTTCAATTTTACTTGATTACCGTTGCTTTTTCCCCTCCTTTCTGTTTTCACTATTTTTAGAAGAGGAATGCAAATCCAGACCAGAAAATGGGTGACTTGTTCAAACCCACTCGAAGTGAAAGCTTGAGCTGAGAGTTACACGAATACTCAGGGGCGACAGCCTGTGTGAAACTGCCATTGAGTCAAATTCCACAATTGGTGCATTTTATCCTCTCCCAGGCATAAAGCCAAAGGCTAAAAGGAGAATATGAAAAAGCTGAGCGTGGATTGTGCTCAAACCCTGTTGAGTTTAATTTTACTTCCAAAGCAGAGCTAGCTCGCCACTTAAATTTGCCCCTCACGAGCCTGCGAAATACCTAGTTTCTTGCTATCAGCCTCTAAATTGCATTATTCGTTTGGAAAGCTCCGACTTTGGGGGCATCACTCTAAATTACCAGCCGGCGCTGCACAATAAATACACATAATCTAAAACAGACTGCAGCGGAGAGGAGAGCCAGTTTCTGTGCATTTGACTGCAGCCTGGGATTCTCAGCTCCGCAAGCCTAATGACGCTGGAAGCACCCAGGAAGACTTCCAGCTGAGTGGAAAGCGTGAGAGAACGAGCACGTAAGAAAAGCCGGTGTTTCCTGACAGGGCGATACGGACACCGGTCTTGGTGGAAGCCCCGGAAAATCCCAAACAACTGGGACAAGGACAAGCCACAGGGGGTGAAGCGGGCCGACTCACGCGTGCTCAAACGCCGCGCTTCCACGGGCCGGCGCGGCCCACACCAGCCCGGCAAGCACAGACAGGAAGGTGCTGGCACGCCTCACGCCTCCTGCTCAAGGTTCCCTATGAAAGACGTCCACAGTCCAGCCTGCGAGGCGCCGCACGAAGCGTGAGCAGCTTGGACGTTGGTGCCAGACACTGCGGAAATGCTGGTCCCGGAGATCCCGCAAGGGGTCGGAGCCCCAAAACTCACACCGCTCAAAGCACGGTGGTTGAAGGTCACAGACGGAGGCCGGGAGGGGCCTGGTGACGTTCTAGGCCCCGAGTCCATGGTAGTTCTGCACCGGGGTGGCCCCCAGGGTGGCCCCCGGGGATAGGGGAGGTTTCAGTTTGTGAACAGTTGCACATCATCTGTGTGCCAGTGACGGGGGGATTCTGTGGACCTACTGGATCTGAATAAAGAGTGAGAGAGAGAGAATGAAAGACAAGGAAGAAAGGCGGGGGGAGGGAGGCACACTCGCCAGGAGCCGCATTGTCCCCCGGGAATAGGGTGCCCCCAAGGTGCTATCATCATTGACTTGAGTAACGGGGAGCGCCACAGGGGCCCAGGATTGGGTGGCCTGGCTCATAGCGGACTCCGCATACCTCATCTCTGCGCACACGGGGCGGACACTGTCAAGCAGGAAGGGATCTCCAGGATGGAGCACGTGCAGGTGTCCCATCGGGCGCACTTGTCTTGCTGGGGACGGGGCCTCGGACTCAGCAGAGGGCAGACGCCTAACTTTGCGTTTGAAAAACACACATATACGGACACACCCCCTTGGCTCCTTGGGGCCCCTCCGGGGAAGCTGGTTGGGGCTCGGGGTGCAAGGTTACCCAGTGCTCACTTAGGACTCAAGGTGACTTGGCCCCTGGCGTTGGCTCAGGACCTTTGGTCTGTGACCGAGGAGCCGTTTTCCATGTTATTTTTTCAAAGGCAAAAGGTTAAGCAAAAATGACATATATTGTAAAATTAAAAGTATAACGCGCAGCACTGATGTGCTCAAAGTCCATGCATTTCAACTCCTTTGTATGATAATTTATGGCGATCATGTCTTCACACTGCACTATTAGCATACTCACCCCTAACAAGAAGTTCTGCCTCATCTGACACATTGTCTGCTGTGGTCTGTACCCTGCAGCCATATCTCCCAGCATGCACCAGAAGGATGTTCCTGATCATTAAATCTGCAGAGGATGCTTGCTGAAAGAGGGATGAAGTGCCAGTTTAAAATGTTGCAAATCTGCCTAGTTCAAGGTGGTTTAAGGGGAACTTTGCATATTCAAAGGACCCATTTTGGCCTCACAATTTGCATGACAACAATTCAGAAATCAAACATGTCCTATTTTAAAGAACACATGGCAGTTAGGTTTTCAACAGTCACCAATAAAGGGTTTGAACAGTTAATATTGTCTATAATGATTTAGCAGCTTCAATAGTTAAAAAAAGTCTGTAAATATGCACAAACATTCATATCTTTAGAAGCACAGGTAAAATATTCAGGGAGCAAAGATGACCACTCCGCTTCAGTGACCCCTATTTTGTGGCAAGAAAATAGCATTCGAGGGACTAGCAACTCGGGAGGATTCACCCCGAGACGAGGGTCCACAGATCATCTCTGAGCACACTGAGGGTAGCGGGATGTGACCAGGTGCGTCTCGCTCCCAAATGAAGCCTTCTTCCTCCCAGACCACGCCACCAGGTGCGGCAGCTTGAACCTCAGGTGACCAATGCAGCCTCACGGCCGGGAGGTGGGGGGCGCCACACCCCCATTCCTGTCGGGAGTGAGGTGGTTAGAGCATTCTGGAGAATGGCGGGGGGCTGTCTCCAGGCCATCAGTTCCTGGGGGGCGGTGGTCCCGCCCTCCCGGGACAGGTGCGCACTCCCCTCTTGCCGTCCAGCTCCCTCTTCCCTGTCAGGAAGGACAAGTTCCCCTTCTGGGAGTATGGACAGCTCTGGTATTTGCAACTCAAGGGGCTTTTTCAGCTAATGTCATGGAAGTCCAAGACTCTTCAGCTTCCATGTTGCGATTGGACACAACGGGCTTGAATGAGAGCGCAGGCGGGCGACTCGCCAAGGCACTCGGAACGTCCTCCCGCCAGTATCTGAACATGCGGAGGGCGTTTAAGCAGAGGGGAGCGCTCCAGATTGGAGAGCTTATTTTTAATGGAAAGGGCAAATTCCCTTCAGGGAAAGAGCAGTTTCTCCCCGGGGACAGTGTCCATGGTCACGCGGGAGGTCAGCTGCGCGCTTTGCGTTTGAAACAGAACAATAAGCTGCATGAACATCAGTAAAGCAAGACGCATTTCTAGAGACCCTCAGACCCTGGTGTGTCTGGCGTCCGCGGAGGCTGTGGCGTCCCTGGTCGCTCCCTCCCTCCCTCCCTCCCTCCCTCCCTCCCACGTGTGCTTCTCAGCAAGTAGCAGCTACGTGCTAGGTTTCAGACCGTTTCTTTCTGGTATTTTCTTTCTTTTTCTCCTTCCTTACTTTTATGATGGAAACGTCTAAGGCGATTGGAATTTTCTCTCATGATGCAAATGTTAAGACGCGGTCTGGTATGGCTGTTTACAAGGAAATGCTCCCAGCGAGAATGCACTAAAATGTCACAGCGGTTAGGTCAAGGCATGCGAAATCGTGTTTTGAGAATGTCCTCAACTGCTCATTGCCTCTGAGAAACTGTCACTCTTTCAATTCTAGCAAAATTCACGTTCTCGCCTCTGCTTGGAGCTGCTCACTACTTTCAAATCTGCAAAGGAAACTTAAGTCAGTCAGAAACCAGTCCGCACGCTGGCCTCAAGAGGGGCCTAATCTTAGGGAAAACCGAAAGACTCCAGAAGATCAGGATGATTTGATTATTTCTGGAAATAACAATTTTGCAAACACTCCTGGTGTTTTCTGCTTCCCCCCCACCCCATTTGGTCGTTTTCTAATTACCACACGCTGGTGGTGGTGTAACGGTCATGTCAGTAAGTGCCGTCTCAGATGCACATTTTAAAAAATACGGAGAAACCACACTAGTGGTTAAATCAATGCCTCATTTTCTAGTCCTTTTTAGCTCAACGAACGTACTTCTGTCCTAGACAAAGCCTCGGCCTCTTTGTCCTCGCTGTTGACTTAGAGAAACAAACAAACAAACGCATGCTTAATGGCGTCTGATCCAAAAAGACCCCACGGAAAGCCGCGCTCAGGTCCGTGGGGTGCAGGCGGCACGCTGGAGCCTGGCACCTCTCCTCCCCAGCCGCCGGGACCAGGGCGCCCAGGCCACTGCGTACCTGCCCACGCCGGGAGGGCAGGAGCCGGCATCACCTGACGGGGCCAGTTCGTCCCCTTCACAGCATCTCTGCGCTACATTTGCACCATTCGAAACAGGGAAGATTAAGAGTAAAATGAATGGCTTGTGGACACGAAGCCTAAATTACCCTTCCCGTAGATTTACCGATCTTTCAAGAGAAGTAATGAGAAGAATTCACGCGGGAGCCCATTATCCTCAATCTCAGCCCGTCTCGCAGCCCCGGGGGGAGCCCCACAATTTAGTGCGCTGCTAATGAAATGCTTACTCACGCGGGCGCTGGCTTTCTTAAGCTCACACCCCGCGCTGGCTTCCGCTCTCCTGGGAGCTACTGTCTGTTTCCCGCACTGGCTTCCGCCGGCCACCGCGGCTTCCTTTAGCTCTCGGAGTCCCCGGGCTACCGCGGCTTGGGGCGACCTGTGCTCGGCGGCCGGGTGCCGCCACCGAGCTCGGGGGGCCGCGCCCAGAGCGGGAGGCGCGTTTACACGGAGCGGTGGAAACACACAGGCTCCGGCCCGCTGGGCCATCAGCAGCGTGGGGCCGGCAGGCACGTGCCTGGTGGCCCCGTCCGGGAGCGGTGCTGGACTGCTGTCCTTGTTGTTTGTGACTCTGGCCTGACACGGCACTTCCGGGAATCCAGCTGTCCAGCGGCTCCCTCTGCCAGGCGTCCTGCTCGTCCACCCGAGACGGCCAGCGGAGACTCCCGCGAGCGGGGGCTCGCGCACGGGCTGCCCGAGTGGACGGTGGCTCTCGGTGTCTCAGGCCGAAGTCCCGGCTGCTTACTTCAGCGCACACGGCTCCGAGAGCTTGACTCGCCCCTGCAGGACTTCGCCCCCGGCCCGGCGTGGACACTGCCATCGCACTTACGCAGCTGCTGCTCCTCGCCTGGACAGACACTGTCCACCGAGGGCAAGGGCCTCCTGGGCCTCTCCTCAGCTTCACGAGCTCCACTGCTGTCCAGGCTTCAACAGGACTTTGCCCCGTCTGGACGGGCATCGGCCCCCGGCCCTCTCGCCCTCGGCCACGGCGGGCGTCTCGGAGTCCAGCTGCCCGGGGAGGCCCTGCGGCCGAGCTACGGCGGCACGCACTGCTTCCTCCCTGCCTGCGTCAGCCATGGCCTCTCTTGCCCTTTTTATTTTTTCTCCCTCTCCCAGACATTAGGAAGGGAAACAGGAGTAGGAGGAAGACAGTAGAAATTAACGCTTGGAAGAACATTTACAGGTTCTGGAGTGGCAGAGCTGTGAACCGCGTCTACCGTTTATTAAATTTGGAGCTCGGGAAAATTACTTTCCCACTCTGAGAGCTTCGGCGTGACCCTCCGGTAAGGCCCGTGTGTGCGTCGGGCACGTAGTAAGACTCTGATAAATGTTCTCTGCCCGAGGGCGCTGTGACGATGCCCGTGGCCAGAGGAGTCTTTCGTTAGCCGTGCCCGCTCCTCCACCGGGGGACCCCGGGCGTCCACAGCGCAGCGGGCTTCCTGGCGGGTGTCCGCTGCACGCCGGCGTCTGTGCTCTCCCGCCTCCTTTTTGCTCAGACAAAGCCACAGGCCTCCGAGAAGGTCAGCGTGCACCTTAGCCCAGCCCCCGCTGGCCCGTGACTCTGGGAAAGTGGCCTGTGGGGCACCCGAGGCTGTGTCCAGAGGACTGCGGGGAAGTGAAGGAACAGGGCACACGCATGAGCTTTTCAGAAAACACTGGAAAAGTGTCACAGGCCCCGTGGCATGTTTTTCCCAGCTGGTTTTAGCAGATTTCTGGGCACACAGCACTCCCTCTCAGAGTGTCTGAGGAACGACTTATCGAAACAAGACGACTGGAATCAAGAACTTTCCTTCTACAGTGGACGCACGCAAATGGCCCAGGACGGGCTGACCCCTGAGGCTCACCCTCGCCAGGCCACGTGGGCCACCTCCACGAAAGCCAGGCGACCTCCCCTCCTGCTAACGCAGTCACATGGCCTAGAAAGGCTTCGGCACACGTTTTAGCCTCTTTTCTATAGTAAAATCTGTATATCTGCCGTGAGACATAGGTTGT